CCAATTGCAAAACAAATATATTTTGGTCCACAAATGTATGAATTTATGCACCTGTACCTGTAACACAGACCTGCTATCCTCCTAACTTGTTGTTAAAGTGTGTAGAATTTGATCTATCCAGACTGCTAATGGAGCATGGCTCCTTTGGTTTAACAGAGCAAATGGTTACATAAGAAGGCAGATTTGCCAACAGTGTCCTAAATGAATCATGAAGTATCATTAACTTTGGCTCAACATTAAGTAACTTTGTACACTATTTGGCTTGTTCATTCTGTACTGTACTGTATATTGAGCAAACCAGTCTTTACAATGGAGCTCACAACTGGTTTATCAACAAAACTGTCATTTTAAAGTGTGATTTTTTTCTCTCACACATGCTGTCACACACTGAATAATGCTAACTTAAAGCACTTTACAACATATAAATCATAAACTGATAGTTTTGTGGGAAAGCATAATTCCTTTCTCTAATAGGCTGAATCAGCTCCTTAAGATAAAACAGGTGCCAAAGTGTGCTTAGTTCATGTGGATGCTCCTTACCACTATTTTTAAGGTAATTAAAATAGAGGAACTAACAGAAAAACTGACATTCCATTAAATCCAGAAGGAGGAGTCCTTGCTCCTTCTAAATATTGCACAATTCAGGCTATTGATATTCTTGTTAATGTCGTACTTTAAATTGTATTCAAGTTATAGATTTTTCATTTAGCCAAAATGACAACTAGGCTGAGTTATTATTGAAAAATATAGACTGTATATAAACATAACAATCCCACAAATCAGATCAAAGGAGGGTATTTTCATCACTTTCAGAGCTTGAAGAAATTACCTAAACAGGTTTAGGGGATTTGATATTCAGAAACATTAAAGGTATTGGTAGAGTCAATGAAAGGATTTTTTCTGGATCAACAGTAAAATACAGGGCTTATATTTAAGACCTGATTCAGGAGACACTGCTTTAGACATATAAAGGTGTACAGTATATCTACAGTAGGTGTTATGGGAGTCTAGAAATAGATTCTCAACTACACAACTGAAGCAGATACTATGGCATCTTCAAGAACTAAGCGCATGGCATCCTCAGGACAAAAAGCTACTAACAATGAGGGCAGACAGATGAGACAAATATCCTCTCTCATTTGTAACCTTTATGTTCTAAATTTCTAAAAAAACATCCTACTTTTCTTGGGAATCACAAATGTGTTTGTAATATGATCATTTTTTTCAAAAGCCTGTTTACTCCAATAAGAATTTAATTGCTTTCATTAGCCATTATTTTCACATGCTATTGCAGAATCTTAGCTGGGGACATATGAGCAATGTCCCTGAGATGAATGATAACCAGACAAGTCAACCACAGACTTACAGCAGATGAGATTAAAAACATTGGCCCTATGGCTCTCGCCTTATGGGCTGGCTGAATAGCCTCCTCTCATTTGTATCCTTTCCTGATCTTTAGCTACGCACTTTGACATCTCTTTAAATCACATAATCCCTGGATACCTTATTTTCATTACTGCAATTCCCTTCGTGCAAAACCATTCTGTGAAGAAATGTAAACTGCACACCATTATTCAAATTCAAATTCCACTCAGACCTTCTGCTCAATTATACAATTAAATATAATATAAAATGGAACAAAACATGCAAAATAAAGCTGAAATCTATTAAACACTCTGACCAAATTAAATTGTTTTATACAAGTTATGTATGTGGCAATTACAGGAGAAAAAGAAATCGATACTTGCTGTTGTCAGTATTAAATGTGGTTCCACACTCTCTTCAGGAAAAAATACAGAAGAGGAGATGGTTGTATTTACCATGTATATATTTATTGTTAATGTAAGCACACCTTTTTGGTTAAAGTATTAAAATAATAAGTCAGTCACAGTGCTTATTAAAGAATCTGCACTTGCGAGTCACAATCAATAATTTAATTAAAAACTAACAAACTAAAATTTGTAAGGCCTTCAGCTGAGGAGGTGATGAAGTAAATGGTGTTATGTACTGAAATGCAAATTCTGCCAATTGCTATGATTAGTGGAAGGGTGTGCTAATCATTATTTTGACTCTTAGTCAGATCTGGGATTGCCTTTAAAACTACATGTTTATAATCACCCCACTCAGTAAGAGCATTCTTATGCTGGAAACCAGATTCTTCAGATTTACCATTTCAGTTTGTGTGTAATCTACTGTATATACAGTACAGTATAAAATTCTTCCTTACAATAGGTGAAAAACAACACAACACATTTTAAAGGATGTTAACATTGTTTTCATTGCAACAGTTCATTGTTTTTTTTTAATATAAACTTAATTCAACATTAGTATTAATCACAGTGTGCACCTTAAGTCAGGTAGCTTTCTCCTGCTTTGTGGACAACAACATTCTGCTTCTCAGGGTCAAAGCAATTTTTCTAATAACAGATGCATCCTTCAGAGAACAAGACGAATACCAACAATAAAAACTAACTTCCCCAGATAAGACACTTATTTTAAAACACTACATTCTGCTAACTTCAGAACAATAGAACAATGGCATTTCATGATATTGTGTTGCAAACATGTTTTTTAATTCAAAATCTTATGTCTTCCAAGCTTACAAGTGGCTTTGACAAAATGACAAATTAATTACTAATTATTCTATTTACAAATCTGCTTTTATCTTTATCATTCAGTTTTTAATTCCAATCTTTTAAGATGAAGAAATAACTTTTTTGGATGGGCCTCCCACGTAGTTCAACTGGTAAAGTCAAGCTCAAGCACAGGTTCAAGCTTGTGTCATGCTGCTAGCCGGCTGAGGCTGGGATTCCCCAAATGGCATCGCTCAATTAGAGCTCAGCACCACCAATGAAAGGGTGAGATAAGCTGGCCAGGCCTGTCTTGGCTCTCAGCGTCAGAGCAGCTTCAGTGTGCTCCCAGGCTCTTGTACTGTAGGTTTGAGGTGCTGTTGATGAGGAACATGCTCTCCCCTGATTGGCACAGAACCTCACGGAAAGGATGCTTGTGATGTGTTAAAAGATGAGTGGTTTGAAGGTGAAAGGGTCAAAGGAATCACTCTCCTGTGTGTGCTGGCGTAGCAACCAGCAGAGATGTGAAAATTTTAGGGAATCGCCACAAAACTGATGGCTCAAAAATACAGCGAGTATAAAACAATTATTTCAAATAATATCAAAATGATTTTTTTTTTGTATAATACATGGGCTGAACTTGTGCCACGTCCTCTTGAATTAATATTGCATTGTACAACATTAACATTACTTCTGGTGATTCTATAATTTTTACCTTTTCACTCCCAGCATCCTGTTGGGGTTTTCATTTCTCCTCTAGTTAAGGACAAAGGCGACCCAACATAAACATAAAATATTGCTTTCACAGGTTAGTCACATCTTCTCAGTAAGTATCACGTAAGTATAATCTGCAGTTGTCGTTAGGCACTGCTGCGACAATGTTTACAATCCCCCAACATATAAGCAACTGAGGGGAATGCGAACAGATTCATGAGTTTTCACAAATAAACTTTCCACTTCTGAGAGATTAGTATTGTAAAATATGTTTTTGTTACGCACTCCTTACAGTTTTACTAGGAAAAATAACAAAAACTTCAAGGTACTTTATACAAGCTATATTAGAAGCCTTCTAATATCAAAATTGACAATGCATAAAGAACCCATGACGTAGTAATTACAAGTTAAATATGCCGTAAAATAAATACCCCGTTTTGATATGATTAACACTGTCCATACTCCAGATACTGACTAATCCCTTTGCATCATCTCCAGTGATCCAATCACAAATAACCGACCTTCTTGTTTCATATCAAAAACGCTTGAGAGGATTCACTCAATTCTGCTTGGGGAAAAAAACAAACCACCAAAATACAATGCAATGGTGGTTTCTTGGCACGCAAAATTGGTACTCCAACTTTTTAAATAAAAAAATATAAATATCGGTCTTTTTACATTTTACGATTCTAATACGAATAAACCAATAGCTGGGAATAGAAATTCTTTCCAGAAAATAATCCTCCAATAGGTAAATTATGTTAAACATTTTACTAATGTGCGTACTACAGTACATGGAAATGTTTGGCTGCACTCCAAACTAAATTCAGTTCGCTTAGAGCTTTATTCTATCTGTAATAGTAAAAATATATATATATATTAAATAAAAGGAAAATACTACAATTAAACAGCAGTGCCTTTTGCGAGGTAATCACAAGGCGGTATTAAGGTAGCCCTAAAAAAAATCCAAAAAACACCCAGAAAACCTGTGGTAAATATGCGCAGAAAATAAAACAATTCAGGATGAAAAACCTTTTACAAGAGGGCTCCATTCACACATGGAGCTCCATCCGTCTTCATTTAATTTCACGAATCAATACCTATTTCAATACCTTCCCTTTAAGTTATTCTAGAAAATATTGCACCAGTCATGACCAATTCACTTTATTTGAAGACAAAAGTGCTGAATACGGTTAATATTCGAATGCGCTACAATATATTACATAAGCAAAATGTGTCAAATAAAGTAATAAAAATAACTATTAGGTGTCTCCGTTTGACAGTCAACTGCAGATTCCAGTTCTTGACAGCTAATGCGTTCCACACATCCACTATCATCAAATAAATGCAAGGTGCATCCAATCCAGTGTACAGCAAGAGTATTTATTGACATTTTTTGTATTTTTTTCTCTTCTGGATCAAATCGTAAAACAGAATTGACAACACATTTCCCATGCTTAACGTGCATTTTCATTCATGTTAATGAAGTACTTCTTGAAGGGTGATACTGAAACTGCACATCCTGGGGGATTTATCCCGATTGATGAGAGAACTGGACGCTGCAAATTCCCAATATATCAACAAACTTTCATCGCTGAACAAGCAACATTGGGAAGCGCAATCACTGAACGCAACAGCAGACAATAGCAATGCTACATGCCCATTTTCCCCCCACATGATTACATGTGCACCCACCCCCCCATTTCAGATGCCTACCTTTCTGTTTAACTTTCTCCTTACGAGGATGAAGACCCAACTAAGGAAGGAGCAAAAAAATCCCAGAGAGCGCACATTTTACTTCTTCATCCTCTTTTTCCACAGTACAGTACGTGCCTTACGGTACTCGGTGCTAGGGCTGTGATTAGGGGATGTCGTGTTTGTTTAAGAGGGTGAATAGCAGCTAGTAGGGGGAGGAGCGTAAGCGCGCAAGCACACAACAATCAGTCGGGCATGAAGAGAAAGAGACAAATGGCCAAGCTTCCGTGTAACGGGCAGCAGCAATGTGAGCCTAGATGCAATTGTAAAACAAAAAAAGGGGGAGGCTTGCATAGTGACTCTCCTCTGGTGACCTCTTTCTACAACCACAGTGTCTCTTTGTATGCAGTTGATTTCACAGTTACATACACTGGACACCCATGCATCCATTTTCAGCGTCCTGCCCCCGGTGAGAGTCGCGGCTGCCCTGGACATAAAGAATACGATCAAAATCATCCCAAGCATTAATAATACTGTACAGTATAGTCAATAGCAGAGTAAATGAGACATTTTCATGTATTACATTAAAAAGAGTGTCAAGGCTGCTGAAGCAAAGGCCTGATAACATGCAAATGATTATGTTAATAAAATATACTGTAGCGCTACAATACCTTGATTCATTTTAATTCTCAGCATTAAATGTTGTAGTATTATATTGTTCCGACAGTTAATTTCAAGACTTAATCATGCATCTTTTTACTGTAGAATGTCACATGTTAAGGTTGTCAAAAAGTTTCTCAGTTTTTTGATGAACCCCTTTCTGTTCTGTTTATTAAAATATGCAAAAACAACTTTAAGTACATCCTGAGATACACACCACCTTACCAAAATAATACACCAAACGATTTGCTCCATTAGAGTGACACATCGTATTCAAATTAACAAGACTTGTCGATGGTATCACATGATACTGACTTACTTTCCCGAGAAATGTGAAGTAATAGCATACCAGACCTTCTCTTTAATGTTGTGTCAAGAGAAAGAAAACAAATGCAAGGTTCTTAAAAGAGGTATGACTGTTGGCAGATGCACCACCTTTTACTTCAGGTAGACTTAAGTGTTATAGGAAGTAGTGGGCAACTGCAGTATAAAAACTATTGTGAGAAATTGAAGCTGTTATCATTGGTAGATGTTAACCAACCTTATATTAAGGGTATTATATGTTTGTAGAGCTGTATATTATACAGGACATTGACATATCATAAAAATAAGTGTATTAAGATCTATTTTTTTAAATATTGAAATAGATTAAGTGGTATAAGCACTTATCTTCAGTTTTAAAATATTTATCCAGACTTGGGTAGCATGGAGACGTTGCAACTAAAGTTGTTTCCTCACAGCTCTTGGGACCCAGTTTGATTCCACATAAGGGAACTTTCTGTATGGCGTATGTATGTTATCTCCAAATCCTTTGAGTTTTCCCAGGAATCTGAGGATTTTTTCCACAAGGTCTTAAGTTTTAAGTTATTGGCTAGGATGCTGTGTCTGAACTGTCCTTTTATGCCTGCATGTGTCTGTTTGTACTGTAATGCAGTGTCCCATCCAGGGTGTAGTCACTCCTTGTGCCCTGTGATTTCGAAATAACCTCTGGATTGCTTCAACCAAACCATCTTCTAATAGATGGACATTTAGGGTTCTCATACTCCGGGTTACACATTGTTCATTTGCAAAGCTGTCTTATTACATTGAAACTAAGACAATAAGTTTATTATGGTGCACATCACTGTATGCTGTAAAAATGAGTGTACTAATGAGAATGACATTCTCACTCTTTCACAAAATGTCCACTGTCTTCCTATGTACAATCATCTGTGATTATGCTGAGGGAGTTTTTATCAGTTGACTGAGGTTCTTTTTAATTCTGATGCAGCTGGCTAATTGCTAGGCTTGTGCTTGAACTACACTATGTCAAAGACATATAGAAAACAATTATTTTCTCACAGACTTCCAGTGTCATATAAACACTTCTTTAAGAGGAAATATCCTAATAGAATTACTGAAATCTCATATAATGGTCTCTCTGTACAGGATAAGCTTTATTTTCTGCACTGTACTGTATTATGTCATGAAGGAAATGCTTTGTTAACTATACATTCTCATTAAAAAAGTTCCTTATGCATTAGAAAAGTTGTACACTTACAATTTAATTGTAATTGATTAAATTAGTCGGATAGCATTATTTCAAGAACATTGAACCACTTCTGTAAGTTATTCAAAACAGCTTCCAATCCTTTTATCACTGATTACAGGTACAGGTATATTCTGTTTTTGAAAATGAAATACTGTGTGGGTAATAAGATTTTTAACAGATTATCTATTAGTTCACATCATAATGACCAGTTTGTGTTTATTATTGTTTATCTTTAGTACAACTACTAAACTTAAATGCTACCACTCCAAATATTAGTGAGCATCAAAAAACACTTATCACAAGTTGCATAATTGCAACAAATTCAAAAATTCTCAGTAGACCTGTAGAGCCTGGACAAGCATCTGCTTGTTCTTTGGTCACTGTGCTCTACATGCAATGTCAAACCAGTTCATCCCATAAATGTTCAAAGGGGCTCAAGTCTGTGGACATCTAGGGGATAATTGTCAGATTCACATCTTAAGAAAACTCCACTGTAACATGAGGAGCATGAGGATCTGCGCTGTCTTTTGGAATGCTATTAATGTACATCAGGATAAACGTGCAAGAACCCCATCAAGTGAGGCTCCAGGACTTGATCGGTGATTGTGTCCAAGTGTGCCCTGCAACAGACTCCTGCCCCATTCACAGAGTACCTGGCTATGTGCCTAGTGCTTCCCGGGATAGGCTCTAGGCCACAGCAACCATGAATTGGATAAGCAGTTATTGAAAGTGAGTATGTTTTATTGTTTATAAAAAGCAGACTGTACATGAATAAATTAAGCGATATGTTTCTTTCGATGCTCATTATTCTGGTTATGCAAAGTCCAGTAATGTTTTCTCTTAAGACAGGGGTAACACCCATTGCCTGGCAAAGTTCTAATGTAGTGCCTATCTATAAAAGAGTGACAAAACTGAAACAAGTAATTATATTTTAATAAGTCTGTCTTTTTTACATATAAGGTTATAAAGACAATTATTAGAACTAAGCTAGAAGAGCACCAATAGTAATTAGAAAATAAATAAAAATAGGCGATAGTCAAAATGGAATTAGAAAATATCTTACTTACTTTAAGTAACTTGTTAGATTACTTTGTGTAAGTATAAACAGAAATGGACTCAAACAGAGCATAAAATATTGTGAAATTACTGTAGATTTCCACAAGGCTTTCGATGAAGCACCTCATACAAGATTAATTTTCAAATTACTGTCAGTAGACATTCAAAGAAATGTGCATGTGTTTGGATTGAGAATTGTTTAACAGAAATCAGTGTACAGATAAAAGGTGTTTAGATTGATATACTGTAATTAGTCATCTGTACAAGGACCACTGCTCTTTCATAATTTATGTAAATGATTTAGATGCTGGTATAATTTGGAAACTAGTCATGTTTGCGGATAACCAAATAGGTGAATTAGTAAAAAGTAGATGAGGAACAAGTAAAGGTTTATTCCATGCTGAAAAGAAGACACAACATTTTGGCTGTGGAACCTTCTTCAGGTATGAGGGTGAGACTGTGTCTATTTTATATCATTTTCAGCATGAAATAAACCTTTACTTGTTCCTTTGCAGCCGATGCATGCTGACACAGCCACCTACTTGAACTTCATAAACAGTAAAAGCTGCAAAAAGAAGAGAGAAAAATATGGGTAGAAGCGAAGACTGGGCGAATGTCTGACAAATGACAACGTAGTCCAAAGTCAACTATACTGTATATACAGTACTTCTTCATAAACAATAATCAAACATCAACCAAACAACACAAATTAAGCTAGTGGGATGTCCTTTTAAATCACCATTACTTGACTTTACAGGGGAACTGTAAAGAGTTTGCTGTCCTGCAGTGATAATGTATCAAGAATGTATCAAGAAATCATAAGAAATGTAAATATTTAAAGAAGAATGTTTGAAGATTGTGATAAGAACGGAAACAACATTGATAAAAATATAACTGCAGTTTTAAATATTCTTATCCAATTAGTAGAATGTCCATTTTCAGAGCTAGATGAGTACAAATTACAGATGAGGAATTTATTTCCAGCTTCTTAGAAAAACTGCTGTTTTGTTTGTGTTTTGTGTTTGATAGACTGTAAATTGTACATGAAATGAAGATGCCTAAAGATGTGTTCTTTTAACTTGAATCTAACCATGAGAGTCTGAAAAACTGTTCTTTCTCAAAATAGATGTGTAAAAAGCCTGCCAAAGATCTTTTTAAACGAATTAAAATAACTGGTTTCCCCATGAACTGTACTGCAAATTTTAAGACCTTAAGTTTTGGGAACTTTAGAGATTGTGTTATTCTCTGTAAATGTTTTATTGAAGCTAACCTATATCCTCATTTCTGTCTTCTGTTTTCTCTGCAAAAATACATACAGTATGGTTAAGAATGTGTATTACAGTCCATAAGAGCCAATAGATTAAAACACAGAAAAATTGTTTTAACAAAAAGAGGAAATATTTATTTTATTGTAAATTATATACCACTTATTTTCTGAAGTTCCATTAGCTGCTTCCCTAACCCATTAATGGAACTTCAAACAAAGTAATGGTTGTTAAGTGAAAGGACATTAAAACATATAACTTATTTATTCCTTCATGCACACATTAACAATTTTATAAAATGTGTATAGTGAATTGGAAGTTGTAGCAGTGCCACATTTTAAATTATAGACAAAGAACTTGTTTCAATTCAACACTCCAGTCCTGTGTGATTTTCTTTTCCCTTATCTCATGAAAAATTGAATATGTAAAGCTGTGGAATAATGTTCACATTGAAAACTGACTGTAGCAATCCTTGCAAAGATTTGCTCTCAAAGGATATGTTTTTAAATTTTCATAATACTTGACACAAATTAAAAGCGTCATCATGCGTGAATGCAAGCACTAACAATTAAGGTTTCCTATATCTGCTAGAGTTTAATATTGTTTTCAAAATGTAGTTGATAAGACACAATGTTAATTCAAGCAAATATAAAAAAAACTGATTTATGCAATTTATAAATCACAAGTCATATTCTATAAAGAATGTTGAATGTTACAAAAAGGTCTTCTACTGTACATGTCTTTCTTGAA